CCTGGTGGGTAGAGAACTGAGACCATTTTACAGCATTTTAAGTGATAGTCACTAATGCAAGAGAAAACAGGAATTGGGGTTACAGAGGGGGAATAAAAAGGTATTTATAGTTTCAGTGTAGCCACATATGAGTAAATGGTAACTGCAGTAGATCTAAGGTTGTGCAATCAAGTGCCTGTAGGCTGGAGTGCCAGCACCTGTGGGCAGGAGCCCCTCCCATCAGGAAGAGGTGGCTAATTCCCAGTGTTCCTGCTCTGCAGAAGCTCTCCCCAGCTTAGGGACAAGACCCCATCTGGATTCTACTATGATGCTTCCTGATACATGTAGCAGTGTTCATGCCAAAGAAAACTAGACTCCAGCTGGGGAGATTAGCAGTTCTTTCTTGTGTCTGGCAGGAAGACAAACTTCTCCCTCTACCCAATACCCCTTCCAACTTCCTGACCTCCAAAATAAAATGAACACTCAAAATTATTCTTCGTTTTGACCGTACCATGGTATGACAGAAAGAACTCTGATCAGCTTTCATCAGACTTTGCATGAGTCCCAGCTACAACCATTATTTGCTATGTGAAGCAGGACAAGTCAACTAGAATCTTCCAACTTATCATCTGACAGAGTTAGGAGGATAAAATATTTAGGTCATAGGACTGTTCTAGACAAGCCTGTGTTCAAGAGTCTAAGAGCAAAAAATACTGAATATGAACCCTTTCCCTACACCCTCATTTTAAAATAGGCAACAGAAAAACACAGTTAACTAGCTATGGCATGCTATCAGCAGGTGGCTGAAGAGAACAGGTCTAAAAGCACCAATACCAACACCAATAACCCCAAAGAGCTGTGAAATGTGGGGCAACCACAGACACCACATTCTTCGGTGGTTTCATCAGCTGTCAGCCAGGGGAATAGTAGGAGGCAGGACAGGAGTCCCACCCATGAGTGAGTTCGTCTGGAACACGGCCCTTTACTCCACCTGAAGCAATCTTTATAAGGAGTGGTGAGTGTCAGGACATGCAGAGGCTCCAGGGCACATGGTAGTAAGAACACATGGAGGCTGAAAGCTGAGATGCACACAAGGCAAAGTGGGAGCAGACAGGTGAGGCAGTGTGAAGGAAGAGAAAACTACCAGTAGACTCCTGAAAGACAGCTCAGGCTACAAACCCCATGACACTCTCACCTCAGACGAAAGGGCAAAGAATCATTTTACCCTGTGCCTTGCTGTCCATCTCCAAGTAAAACCTGTGTCCTTGATGTACAATAGGGAGCTGACCATACGCAGCTATGCTGGCTTTTATGTAAAATGATGCTTGGTTTTCACTTTTATATTTGAGAGAATGGAGAGTCAAGAAGCTGAAAGGCAACAAAGCTGAAACTCAGTAAAATCCTTGGTTTTTGTTTTGTTTTGTTTTTGCATTTTATCATGGCATCAACATCCATGGCTAGAATGGAGGACAAGTTGTTTGGGTTTGTTTGTTTTATTTCATTCACACTGGGAGAATATAATTTTACAATAACAACAATTAAGCAGTTTACTTAAACAAGCGCTTCTATCAGTCAGTCATAAAAGGAGTTCGATAATACAAACTGCTTTTATATCCATCTCTACCTCTGGCCTTCTCTTTCTCCTTCCCATAACAGTCACAGTTAAAGAAAAGAGCTGTCTGCAGTCGTTTCTTCAGCGTACAGCATTACTCAGCCCTGGGTCACCGTGTATCTGCCCTACTGCCCTCCTCTACCTGGATCCCAGCACAGATGAACAGGACTCCCTCCAATGGCACCGAGCTGCCCTTTGTCATTTGACTTCCCCACAGGACAAGTCCAGCCACATGCCCGCCTTTTGTCAATGCACTTTTTGGTCTACCTGGCATCTCTGTCTACTGATAATTCCAAAGCCTCTGGCACCCCTGTGTGTACTCTGCTGTCCCTAAGGCTGCTTCTCAAAAAGCAGGTCAGCCCTCTGATGTTCTCTGTTCTTTATACAACTACAGCAATGCTGACTGTTTGTTCCCATACTGCTGGCGAGATGTCTAGCTAGACAAATTTTCTGTCTTAATTGGATAGCACTCTTAACAGGAACTTATAAAGTTTTCCCACACATTATTAACACAAATAGTCCACTAGAATCGTGAAATGGGAATGTCTTAGACTACACACACTTCTGTCTGTGCCCAGTGGCTATCTACTATCTTTCTTACTGCTACTGATGGGGCCTAAGAAAGGTGAATGTGGAAAAGGAAGAGTATATGATCTGGGAATAGAAATGGCTAAAATTAAAGAGCTTTTGTCCCATAAATTTATTAAAATGATTTTACATTTCAGGAAACTCATGTGGTAATAAAAAGTAAGGTTGTGCCTCCTTGCCTTACATTAAAAAGAACAAAGAACCAACACTCAAAATAAAAAAGACTTTAAAATCCCTAATCATCTACAGTCTAGTAACCAAAAAAGTTTTCTCCTGAAGTCTGCTACATTCCAGGTACTAGAGTATTCAAAAGGAGGTACAGGAGTGGGGAGCTGTCTACTTTTTCCAAAGAGCTAGTTTTGGATGGAATAGAAGGGATCCCTAAACTTGAAGGGAAAAAAAAGAACAATTTTTCTTCCATCTACTGCCACACTCAAGACTTAATTGCATGTGATATTACAATTATTGGGAAGAAGAGCCCAGCCACATGCTGAGACTCACCTATCCCTTCAGTGCTCTTTTTCTGCTAGCTCAGCAAACACACGGGGGGAAAGTCAGCAGTGTCCATCCCTGGGAATGACCGGCGTTGGAGGCTCTCGCTCGGCAGCTTCTCAGATGAGAGCAGCATCAGGGAGGATGGTTTCATTTCATAAGGAACAATGTGACTTCCCTTACAGGAAACTGCTCATATGAATATTTTCCTTTAACAACACACTCTCCCAAACAGTTCCCCAAAGCCTTCTCTGTTCAGTCAGTCCCAAAGAGAAGGCCAGGAACTCAAGATAGACATGGTTGGAAAAGAGTGAGTCAGGAAACAAAATTTCAAAACATGTGCTACTTACTGCATAACAGATGCTTTCTGTTAACCTTTTCGTAAAGCATCTGAAGGCCGGGAAAAGTAATTTACACAAACGTACTACAGATTCTCCTCTAGCTTAATATTGAGATTAAAAGGAATATGGTTTTCACAATGCAAAACAAATAAGACAAATATTCAAATGATATTAAATCCTTAGCAGAAATTTACTCATGAGGAAAGTATATAAATTCATGTGAATTTGAGTCTTGACACGGATTTGACAGAGCTGCCAGTCAATTCTAAAAAGGTCATATAGGCTGATTAGAAGTCACAAGGCTGATTGGTTTACAGGAAAAGCTAGAACCCCAGAGATCACAGGGTGCTAAATGCATCATAGTTTATGAAACACCTATATATAGGCTGGAGAGACAGTTCAGCAGTTAAGAGTGCTGGCTGCTCTTCCAGAGAACCCGAGTTCAAAACCCACACTGCAGCTTATAACCATCTGTAGCTCAGATTCTACCTTTTAAAGTCTCCACACATGATGCATAGACATATGTGGACATAAAATAATAAATTAAAAATACTTATACTGTGTGTCTTTCTGCTTCTGGGTTACCTCACTCAAGATGATCTTTTCTAGTTCCCACTATTTGCCTGCAAATTTCATGATTTCCTCATTCTTAAGGGGATATTAGCCATATAATAGAGGATAAACATACAAAAATCTATACTCCTAAAGAAGCTAAACAACAAGGAAGACCCTAGGGAAGATGCTCAGTCCTCATCAGAAGAAAAAATGTTATAGAAATCGGAAGCAGGAGAAGACAGGGAACAGGACAGAAGCCTACCACAGATGGCCTCTGAAAGACTCTACTGATCAAGGTATCAAAGCAGAAGCTGAGACTTATAGCCAAACTTTGGGCAGAATGCAGGGAATCTTATGAAATAAGGGGAAGAAGAAAGATCTGGAGGAGACAGGAATCCAAAAGGAGACCAACAGAGCCAAAAAACTGAGCCCCAAAACTGAGCCAAAAACTGAGAATGATACCCCAACCAAGGACAATGCATGGAGAGGACATAAAACTCCTGCTCAGATATAGCCTACAGACTCCAAGTGGGGTCCCTAGTAAGGGGAGCAGGGTCTTTCTCTGGCTTGGACTCAGTGATAAGATCTCTGAGTGGTGGGTGCAGCTCTGCCAGGCCACAGAGACAATGTAACCAGTTCTGATGAGACCTGATAGGCTAGGGTCAAACAGAAGGGGAGGAGGACCTCCCCTATCAGTGGACTAGGGGAGGGGCATAGGGGGAGAAGAGGGAGGAAGGGTAGGATTGGGAGGAGACGAGGGAGGGGGCCACAGCTGGAATATCAATTCAATAAATTGTAGTAAGTAAAAATAAAAAATGAAAAATACTTATAAATATCAGTGCTTGATCTTTTGAAAATAACCATCTATAATTAAATATTAGTCTCATCATATAAGCATTTATCACATGATCAGGTTTTTTTAAAAGGATGGGTTACACAAATGAAGTTTAGATAAATAAGCTGATATTTTTGAATATACAAAGGTACCTAACAGATTATTTTACACAATTCCTATTGTATTCCTATGGGATTGTAGTTGACATTACCATTTCAGAGATATGAATCAATAAGTGGATATGTTAACTAACTTTCTAAAGTCAAACAGGGCATCCAGACAACACCATACAGAAATGGAGGTCATATTTCACAGCAAAATGAGAAAAAGGCATAAAAATAGATATATTTTGTGGCAAAGATACTCAGATACACAATATTTTTTTCTAATCACAGAATGTGCCAATGTTTTGTTGTTGGTTTACTGTTTTTACTGAAAGAATAACATTATTTTTGGAAAGTCCTTATCAACTGGTCCTTCTTTCATTTTTGTCTCCTCAGAAATCAAACGAGGAATAACCTTTGCTGAATTCGTGCCTCAACTGTCCCCAAGTGTTTCCTGACATGCATCTTGACTTACAATACATCACTGCTAGAGAATGGGGCTCAACCTGACACTTGCAAAATTACCAAGTAAGCCAAAGAAAAAGACACAGAGGAACTGCACTTTAACATGACTTATGTAGGCTAAGCGATAGTTTAGAACCAACTAAAAAAACTATGGAAAGCCATTTCTCATTCTGCGTACAAGAGCAGCCATACAGGATAGCATCGCAAGGGTAAACCGACCTTTCTGCAATTGACTTAAAACTTTAGTGAATCTCAACACTATCTTTGAAACAAACAAACAAGCAACAAATATTGACAGAATATTTGAGAAAGATTTGTTAAACTCAAAATAAAGTGCATATTAGTCGCCACACCTTATAGTCCACACCAAGGTTCACTGAGGCTCCCCAGGAGGCCAAAAGCAACATCTACCTACTAGACTAGATAACTATTTAGAAAACAATCCTACAAGGGCCGCTGTACCATGGATTGACACCCTATAATTTATACAACTTTATTATTTCGCTCCATCTGGTAGGTAGGGCAGTGACATGTGCTGAGACTTTAATAGTCTGTGTCAGAGTGACACACCCTGATGAGCAATACAGTAGATGCACCCAAGGCAAACATGCTCTGATTCTGTGCCACAGCTTTAATCACTTGCACTGAAACTGCATAAAAAAGAGATTTCTAAGAGTAAATGGACACATTAAGTACACAAATGACAATGATGAAAAGTCTGTCTGCACTGGCCTACATGGTATTGTGACCATTGAGAACGCTGAACAGTGCTAACTTGAACAGTGTATTTGTGCTAAATTTTGATTTAAAATTCACACATAGTGTGATAGCTAGTATGCATATACATATGCTCCCAAGACACACAATCATAGTTTCTCTAACACACACATATACACACATTCATACACGAAATAAAATATTTAATGGGACTAGATTTTTTATTTGTCATTTTCAGAGTTAACTGAGAAGAATCTGGGGTAGGAAAGCACAGAAGAGATTGACAAAGGGGTTCCCCCTTGCTTCTTTTAATCCTCATTCTATATGAAGCCCAGTGATGAACAGGGAGTACCATTCTAGTAGGCATAGAACACAGTCTATTTTAAAATCAATTTCTAGTTCTTCTTAATGAATGACCAAGAGATTCATTATTAAAGGAGGTCCTTAAATTGGCCAAATTCTTTACTGGAAGAATAACTTGATAAAAGCAACTGGGTGAAAAAAAAAAAAAAGCCTTTTTCTTTTGATGACCAATGTTCCTAAGTAGGAATAACGAAGGTGTAAACCTACACACATCAGGGAAAACTGAAAGACCAAGGAGAAGACAAGGTGTGAGCAGCTGACAGGGAAGACATGATGCTCGGTCACGTCAACAACCACCAAGTCACGCTAACATTTTCTACATTAAGCTACAGCCCTTTAGGGCAGCACACAGGTGGTTTATCCTGCTCCTGGGGTACCACGGTTGTCTCTCATTAAATTATTTTACAAAATAGCCCAGAAGAGGCTTTAACTACTCATTTGTTTGAGCTGTGTTGTAAATCTGGAATTTGTGAATGAAGTAAAAATCAGGATACGCTTATCCCATTGAACTGGGAAGGCCTGTACTCCAAAACATGAATCCTGCTCCTGAGCTAAGGCAAAAAATTGTAAGGGAACAGAAACAAGCCACAAAATAGGCCAAGAACCACTGTGAAGTGAAGTCACTCATACTTGAGGGTTTTTGTTTTTATTCTGCTTTGCTTTTTGGTTGGTTGATTTTTTTTTTTAAGTAAGACAGAACTCATTGATACTCGGATTGAAGACTATCTTAAATATTAACTATAATTGCTAGGTATGTTATCATTTAATAAGAGTGCTTGTCTATATAATTAAGCCTTGGAATATAATAATAATAATAATAATAATAATAATAATAATAATAATAATAATAATGAAGACACATATCTAGTAGAAACACTGGGATAGAAAGACGTGTTCTAGGCCACAATGGGTATACACAAATCCTGGCTGCTAACACTAACACCTGAAATACCCCACCCCCAAAAGGTTAGAGCTAGTGAATTCTATTTACATTTACAATGGTTTTTAGAAACCAGCTCCTATCTGATTGCTACAACACACAGCCATCATTGCAAGTGATGACATAGCTGTTCCTTTTTAAGGTCTGTCCCTCAGCTGAGCACTTTCACCCTGATTAATACTTACTTGACTTCCTGTATTTCCCTAAGAGTGCTATCCCCAGGAAGATGAAAGTGGTAGTTAATAGCTTAATTGGGTAAATCAATTCAAGCAGATATCTAAAACTCACTAAAGCTGCACTTCTTAAGCCTTTAATAGCTTTGAGAGCTGATTGGGATCTTCTGGTACAGAAAAAGACAAGCCTGCACTTTTTTATTAAATCAAAACAGGCCTCAGCAATATGTGCAAGGCAGCATTTCAAATTGGAAGCAGTAATTGGGATGGCAGCTGAATCAGGCATTTTTAACTTGTAAAGCTTAATAATACCATCAGTCTCATAACAGGCTAGCATAGGTATAAATTACTAACCTGTATAAAAATATTTAGGCCAGAAAAACCAGTTTTTAAAAACATAGCAAGGAATGAAAGGGGGAAAAAAAATCAGAAAAAGAGACAGCTCCTGAAGAAAAACCCACACTTAGATTTCAGGTGGTAATTTAAGAACCTGTTTTTGGATTATAGCATCAGCACCTTGCTATTTCACGTCTTCAAAGAAAGAAAATAATATATAATAAAATAGCCATGTGGGCAAATCGGACCTAAATTCATGTTATTCCCTAAACAAAAATCATTCCAAAAACATAACTAAGATGATGTTATTATTAACTAATGGAAATTAAAAACGCAGAAATGACCTTCATCCTTACATCTGAAACATGTTTGTACACTATGATAGTTTATATTGTCTAAGTACACAGGTAACCAAACGTGTTTGATCAAACAACGCAAAGAGTTACTGAGGAAGTAGCTTCAAGAGGAACTGGGGGGGGCAGGAAACTTCCAGAGCATCAAACGCCTGCTCAGGGAAGAAGGCAAGGAGGATAATGAGAGCAAAAGTCAGGAGGCTGATCAGTGAAAAGCTCAACAGGCCTCCAGACAGCCAACCTCAGAGATTCTACTTTGGAACACACTGCCATGCAGCTCACCTCCCAGCTGAAGAAATCCTCGAAAACCACTGTGACAGCAGTAGGAGTAGCTGGTCCACAGCACAGACTACAGCTGTGGAACCCTCCCATAACCACCGTGCTTCCTTCCGAAAGGGGACTAAGAGACTGTTCACAGCTGCTGCAGAAATCAAATGCCTACACACCATTTCATCAATTAAATAATAGAGTGTGATGATATCTTTAATCAAGTGCACCAGATTTTTTAAAAGCAAAAAAAAAAAAAAAAAAAACTGAAAATTCATGATAATAGCAGTGTATAATCTAATCTTGTAAATAACAACAAAAATAGCAGCCTGCACGTATTTTTACATAATGTATTTCTTGTGGATCCACAAATTAGATTTAGCTATACTCAGGAATTGTGTCACTTTAGAAGAAAGCTGATTTTGTTTGTTTGTTTTCTGTGGGGAAAAATACTACATTTCTATTTCTAACAATGGTCCCTACAAAATCCCCAGCAAACAGAGGTAAAGAATTTAGAGTGCTTTCCTTGCCTACTTTGCGGTTTGGGGTGACTGCAGAGCTTAAAACGTAGGTAGTAACAAAGAGATGGACTATGTCAACTAATACACTGATATAACTTCTGTGCTCTATTTCACTGCCTGGGTAAAGGAAACTTCAATTTTCCATCTCAGGTATTGCTCATGGTATGTGTAACAAAATCAAATGTTGAGCTGAACAGCAGGGTTTTATATAGATATGCTATATCCATTTTCCATAGGTTGCTAGAGAAATTCAACGGATCTTGAAATGTAGGGAAGGGAAAGCCACTAGTTATTTAGTTACTCAAAAAAATTAATCAAGTACTTCTTTAAATCTTGGAGGCAGGGTCTGGAGAGATGACTTGGTGGTTAAGAGTGCTTCAGGCTCTTCCTGGGGACTCAGATCACAAGGGAACTTCAAATCAGGAGCTCATAACCGCCTCAGGTCCTGGGGACCACAGGCCGTCCTCTGACCTCTGTAGCGCTGGCATGTGTGGTACACAGATAGACACATGAATAAATTTTTAAAAATCTTTTGAGACACTCTTTGCACTCATTCAGAATGACAACTTAGCGCTACGCGAGGCAGTTGTACTAATGCAAATGTTCCCACTTCTGCAGGTAATGAACTATACAGCCAAGCAAGTCACTCTGCAAACAGCACCAGCGAGGGACCTGGGAAGAACTCCACCCTTCACAACGAATTTGACACCATCATCCTGCCAGTGCTTTACCTGGTTATATTTGTGGCAAGCATCCTGCTGAATGGTCTGGCCGTGTGGATCTTCTTCCACATTAGGAATAAAACCAGCTTCATCTTTTATCTCAAAAATATAGTGGTAGCTGACCTCATAATGACACTGACATTCCCATTCCGAATAGTCCGAGATGCGGGACTCGGACCTTGGTACTTTGAGTTCATCCTCTGCAAATACACCTCAGTTTTGTTCTACGCAAACATGTACACATCCATTGTGTTTCTTGGGCTGATCAGTGTCGATCGCTATCTAAAGGTGGTAAAGCCTTTTGGTGACTCTCGCATGTACAGCATAACCTTTACCAAAGTTTTATCACTTTGTGTTTGGGTGATCACGGCTGTTCTGTCCTTGCCAAATATCATACTAACTAATGGGCAACCAACTAAGGAGAATATTCATGACTGCATGAAACTTAAAAGTCCTTTGGGAGCCAAGTGGCATATGGCTGTCACCTATGTGGACAGCTGTTTGTTCATGGTCGTGCTGGTGATTCTGATCGGATGCTACATAGCCATATCCAGATACATTCACAAATCCAGCAGGCAGTTCATAAGTCAATCGAGCCGGAAGCGGAAGCACAACCAGAGCATCCGAGTGGTCGTGGCTGTGTTTTTCACCTGCTTCCTCCCCTACCACCTGTGCAGGGTCCCTTTTACTTTTAGTCACCTGGATAGGCTTTTAGATGAGTCAGCACACAAAATCCTCTATTACTGCAAGGAAATGACGCTTTTCCTGTCGGCATGCAACGTGTGCCTGGACCCAATAATTTATTTCTTCATGTGTCGGTCGTTTTCAAGAAGGCTGTTCAAGAAATCAAACATAAGAACGAGGAGTGAAAGCATCAGATCGCTGCAAAGCGTCCGGAGATCAGAAGTGCGCATTTATTATGATTACACCGATGTTTAGCGACCAGAGGACAGGCCACCCATTCTTACTGGGATCAATATGTAAAAAGTGTAAATAAATGTTTCTTTTTATTACCCTGGCTGAAGCCCATCAAAAACACAGATTATTTTTTTAAGCATAGAAATTGCAAGATATTGGGGCATAACTTCTGTAGAGAACTCACGGTATAGTGAATTGTTGAGTTTCAGTATTTGAAAAATAATTATTTAAAAGGCCTAAGTGTCCTTTGGCTATTTTCCCCTCCACGTGCTTATCAAAGCCATAAACACATGATAAGCATGTGGGGTGGGGAGGTGGAGGAGTGGCAGAGGGGGAAGTTTACCTACGTTTTTCACAGCACATGCTGATAATGTCACCATCAAGGAACTCATTTCAAATAGGCTATTTTAGAGAAAGAAATGTGATTGGCTATTACAAAGATTTATCATCATTTAATTCTTGATGAGGACTTCATGATGTACTTAAATGCTTATGTGATAAGGGTAGACAGGAAAATATGCAGGCCTAGCTAACATGTATATTTAGTTTATCAAACTGTCCTTTAAAAACTTGTTTTAATAAAAATAACATTAATAAAATATTCTTCCCTGTAATGTATGCCCAACAAGAATATCAGTAGTTTATGCAACTGTAAGATGAAAGATGTCGTTCACTAAGTTATGTCAAAAAGTCTAGCAGTAGTTATTTAAGTGTTTGACTATCTTCTCTTCTCCAATAAGAAATCTTTGAACGACCTTGTTTCTCAAGCTTGTATTAAGCTGCCAGAGGGTCACGTCGGATTTCGTATTTTACATTTTTTATTATACTTGTTTGCTTTGTGTGTGTAGGTGGGGTAGTGCACATTACAAAGTGCGCACGGGTGTCGGAGGGCAACTTGCCGGAGTTCCTTCCTCCCTTCATATGGGCTCTGGGATTTAACTTAGGTCCTGAGACTTGGAAACGAACGCCTTCATATGCTGAGCCATCTCTCCGGCCCCTGTTCTATTTTTAACACTGTACTAAAGAAACACTGAAGAAAACCTTAACAGGATAGTTAAGATATGTTTGCTTGATTAAAAGACATTGTATGACCAAAGAGATGGTTCAGTGGGTAAAGGAACCTGAAACCCAGATGAAGTTGGGCATGGTAGTATGGTCCTGTGACCCCTACTCTCCTACAGCAAGATGGGAGACAGAGAGAGGAGAATCCCCAAAAGTTTCCAATGCAGCTAGCTTAGCATATGCAGCAGTGAACAAGGGCAGACACTCATGGTTGCACTCTGACCCCACATGTATGCTGCAACATGCATGCCTGCATTCACATAAGCACATGTGCATACATGCATGCATACACACACATACATACATATATCATATACACAAACATTATTAAAATAGGGTACTATAGTTAATAGATAGAACTGACTGCTGTACTCAAGCAAGAGAGAACAGAGCAAAGCTGAGGCCATCATTAGGCACAAAAGCAGTGCAAAGAACCAAACTACTGAAGGAGCATACCAATTTTAGCAGAGGAGTTTGTAGGAAAGGAGGTAAAAAGGTCTGATAACTTTTACCAAATGTTAGTCTGTCAAGAATTTAGCTCCCTAAATGAAATGACTGCTGAAGTAAAATAATTTTATATACCCTGTTTGGTCATTGGCAATATTTACCTCCAGCACCAAATGTGTGATACTAAGTAGGTTAACACAGGTTTTAGATCAGTTACTGAGCAGATGGAAGAGAATGAGGAGGAGGAGCAGCTACCCTAATATGAAGGAAGAGCAGTCCTGTAGCAGGAGAGTCCTTCTCTCCAGCCTATCCTCTCTCCCTCTATTTCTCTCTACCACACGACAGCACCTAGTCAGAGAACGAAGGAACAACGTTGTAAGCTTCAGTATTCGGGGATGTGGTTTAAGGCACAGACCCTCTAGGACCTCAAGACCAGAAATGACTACTTTACTGCACCAGCTGGCTCTACACAGCTCTGTAGATTGTCTCTAGCCCATACTTCAGCTCGTTTGTGAATCAGGCTTCAATGCTCAGCCTTTAAAAATGTGTTAAACCTCATTTGCTATCTCTAAATTGGATACCCCTATGGCTACTGGGCACATTTAATGTGAGGTGGGTCTTATTTATCTGAAATGACATTGCTAAATCAATGACATACCTCCAAACATCAACTTACCAAAAACAGTGCGCAGGATTATCCTTATTTAAAGAAGTCATGTTATAAAATCTATCTAAACTGCAGTTTCTATTTTACATCAACACTCAAAAGTGACTTATCCAGGACCGGGACTGAACAACTTACAGAACACAGTAGAAGTAATACAAACTACAACCCTCATGCTAGAGAGCTGTACACAGTGTTCTCTTCAAAATGAAGAAAATGTGAATTCTCCTAGTTGAGGTTTATAAAAATGATAATTCTAAAGTAACCTTAAATAGGAAACAGAGTGTTACTTAGGACTTTTGAGTTGCATGGGTTGAGAAACCTTTATTTGAAATTGCTGGGACCAGAAAGATTTCAGATTTCAGGTGCTGGGAGTGGGGATATTTGTACATGGCGGACAGGACAGTTTCAGGTAGAGCCCCCAGTAGAATGTTGTGGTCTTTGTACTGTGCTTCCGCCCTGCTTGTGACAGCCACTTGTGCTATCACGCCAGACTTTTGAGCATTTCAGATTTTGGATTAGGGATGGATAACTGCCAAAGCTGTAGGTGATATTTTAAAATTCCCGCATACAGGAATAAATACCATATTCATTCGTGCTTACATGTAGAGGTTCAGAACGAAACTTTATTTTAAAAAATGATATTCAAAGAAGCTGGTCTTACTGACTGTTCTATTGGTTGAATTACTTCATAAATTCTTAATTCTCATTTTATAAATGCAATACCAGTATCTCCTTCTCAGATAAAAACCAGTGCCTAGAAAAACACAGAGACAGTGTTTAGAAAAACACATTAATTTAGATTAAGTACTCAACACAAAATGTGTGTGAATGTGTATGTTTGTGTGTGAGAGATAGAGAAAGAGAGACAGAGAGAGATAGAATGAATTTGCATGTACATATGGGATGGTACAGTTTTATAATCACAGTAGAGAAATATATTAAGAAAATAAACTTAAATACAAGACTATTAAAATCCAGTGACCAATTCCATTTTCTAAACAGAATTCTTTCCCTCCCCTCTCTCTCTCACACACACAAACTCTACTAACCAACAAATCAATAAATGTCTACCACATGCTATACAAAAGAACACTGTGTTCAGCAAGATATAAAATAGTCTTCATGTATCCCTACTGATTTCTAAAAGGAAAGCACTCCTAAGATGGGCCATTTTGAAATGTCAACTGGTTACAAAGCAGCAGGAAGCTACTCTTTAGCCTGCACCACCATCTAGTGGCGAAGCTTTTAAAGCATGTATTCCCTGTCCTACCCCTTCTACAAGTATTTAACAGAGGACAGCCCTGAGCAGGGAGAGGTAGAAATGTCTAAGAAGAGCCATCAATGCTTGCAGAAAGTTAACTTCTGTGTGCAAAAGGAACCAGAATCTAAAAGGCTCAAGTCACCTGGGGACTTGATAGAAGCATTTTGCAAATACCAACTGCTGTTTCCAAACTGAAAATTTCCCAACAAAAAGTCAGCTCTGTGCTTTTCAAGAACTATTGTGGCCTTGAACACTGACTGCCCTTTTAATATTTATGCTATACTACAGACTCAGCATTTTTTCTGTAACATGTAGATCTGCCAAGCTCCGTTTAGACACTGAATCAGGCTCCTATATTGTATATTTTGTGCAGTCAGTATCATGAAATAGAATAGATGTTCCTTAGGTCAAGTTCCTATGTGCATCAAATCATTCTATCACATTTTCCTCACTGATGCCCGGAAGTGTTTACATTAGTTGGAAAGCATCATTCACAAAGTCAGCTTTAAATGCTGTATTTCCATCTTATTTCAATTTCACTTCTCAAGCTTACTTTTTACTCTTTGATGCACAACTTGATGAGCATCTCTGATGCTCCATTTTCCCTTAATTTCCTATTTTTCTAAAACATGCCCTCTATTATGCTGTTATTGGTAAACGGGAGGCCACACAGGGTACTGAAGAACTGTAGTTGCTGCATCAGTTACTTCTCTGTTGCTGTGAGAAAACACCATAACCAGAGAAACCAACAGAGGAGAGTTTATCTAGCCTAATGTTTCCAGAAGACAAGTTTATTACACTAGGGAAGCATGGCAGCAAAGGGCAAGCATAGCAACAGGAACAGGAAATTGAGAGCTGTATACTTTACTGTAAACATGAAACAGAGGGAGTATACTACCTGTAGGGTGAGGCTGGAAACTCTCGACACTGCCCCAGTGACATACTTTCCAGCAAGGTTCCTCCTAAAGTACCACTAACTGGGGCCCTGAATTCAAACACTGAATCTACAGAGGACATTTCTTATTTAAATCACCACAGTGAGTACTGTGAAGTAAATCTCAGTGTTAAGGACACATTCTGTACTGATAAGTGTATTTTTCATCCAAGGGGAGGTTTAATGGCTTGCTAGCATGAGAAGCAGGGGACAAACTTTGACTGCTCGAGACTGCTTCTGATTTTGAATCTATCAATCAACAAGGCCCACCATCAAGCACTACAGTGATAACACATACCTCAATTTTACAAAATTCCCTCTAAGGTACTGATGGCTACAATTAAGAGACCTGGAACAGGTTCTTGAAAAGCTGCAGACAAAGAGGGGAATATGCCTGGGCTCCAGGTAATACAGAAACCTAGACTGGCTGCTGCTAAGTCCTCGTACAAACATGGAGAAGGGCTGATCAATGTCCAAAGTAATAAACAAGCATCTTTTTTTTTAATCCTGTTTCTGTATAATACAAAAATGATATGAAGAAACAAATCAATGAACTAGTTAGTTGATCCCAAAGTCTATGCTATTTACAAGACTGTACAACTTTTCCTTGAATTCACTCAACAACATTTGTATTCACTTGACATTGTCTT